AAACAGACTACTGTCTTCTTAGCACCAATTAAAATGTGAATGCCAACAATTTTTTTAATAATGAGCATGGACCATATACCTCTTGAGGGAGTCATTTAACTCACCTACATGACAATCTCTTATATGGTTCAGTGAACCATAGCTAAGAACAACACTATCCTAACTAACGAATCAAAGACAAGCTAATAACAACAGAGAACACTCTATAGTTGCATTATCTATGACAATTATATCAAAGAGAAGTTCACACACCTATACTTTGCTTCAAAAGCAAATATTGCTTCCTTTGTAAAAGTGAGTACTAAAGGAGGAATTCAAATAGTCAATCCTAAAATAGGGCCAGTGGATTAGTATTATTAGATTTGGCCTTTTATAATATAAAGATAGAAAAAATCCTGGATGGGATTTCTAGGAGAAGTATGGAGAACTGAAGACAGCTGAGTCAGAGATGATATTCAGCAGGTTCTGACCAGTTCTGGAAACCGGTAGTGGAAATTTTAAGTAGTTCGGAGAAGCGGTAAATACCACCTCTGACTGCCCCCCCCATCTATTCTTTGCTTCTCGAGTCCCAGCGGATTGGGAGGGAATGGGGAATTTGTAGTAACCTTCCCCTGGAATGGGGAGGGAATAGAGATTTCACAGTATCCTTCCCTTGCCATGTCCACCAAGCCACGCCCACCAAACCATGCCACACCTACCATGCCACACCCACAGAACCTGTAGTAAAAAATTTGAATCCCACCAATCAGCTGAGTGATATCAGTGCCAACAAATCTGATTGACAAATACCAAGGCAGTGGTAAGCCTGGACATGGAGAAAACATTTTAAAACAAGGAAAAATACTAAAAACAAGCATAAAAACAGAAAGTCAGAAATGAGAAAAATGGATGGGAACCAAGAAAACAAGCGGTTTAATCACTTTTGCACATTACATCAAATTATTACATAGATGTGATTTTCATGGGCTGGCTCTTGATCATCTCTATAATAAGTGGCAGGGAAGAAGTTAGTTTTATTCAACCAATTACTTTTATATATTATAATATTCTATAATTACTTACTACATTCACAGCAAAGATGGGTTTATTCATTGAGTTTGACAGAAGAGCAGATACTACTGCAAAACAAGGAATCTCTATAGTGAAACTGTTATTTTTCAGTCTTAAAACTGGAGCTGCAGTCACCATCAATTTCATTCTCACTGGGTGTGATTTGGCATAATGCTGCCTAACCTGCACAAATAAATAATTATTTTATAATAATTATATACATAATTATTTGGCCTCAAATCTACATTGCTACATATCTTTACTTTAAAACAACATGTGTATGTGATTAATCCCATGCATGTATACTTGGACATGTAATCCCACTATCCAGTGAGATTTATGTTCTGATAAATTTGTTTAGAATTGTTAAGTATGGTTATTTCAAAGATGGAATTAGCAATATGAAGAGTAATAAAATTCTTAGGTTTTTACATATTACTTACACATTATGTGCATGTTGTCATTCAGAATTTACAAAATTTCTATGCCTCATATCTACTCCTGCCATACTAGGGTGAGAGCAACTACTTTTGTAGAGTAGCTACAAAATTAGAAAAACAAAGAATCAGATCTTATATTGGTTCGTATGGGTTGAGATTCTGATCCTAATGGAGCTGGATTAATATTTTTCCTTCATTGTTCAGTCAAATCATTAATTTCCATGGAGGAGGAAATGGACAAATATCAACATGAATTTCCTGCTGTCACATGTCCTTTGATCCTTTTCTTGAATGCATGCTGAAAGAGACAATCTGTCCTAAAATCACATTTTGTCAAAAGTAAATGCTGAAAACTTTTGGAAACCAATCAATACTTATCCAACATTCATGTATATAAACCCATAATTGTTTAGATTTTTTAAAATAGTTCATGCTTACTTGAGGAATGACTTTGCTTAAGGTATCTGTGGTTAAATTAAAGTATGAAGAATGCTGCAAAACGAAAGAAATATATGAGTCTCCTACTCATCTTTTAAATGAAACACTACTTAAATCCCTTCCCTTGATTACCATCATGGAGTGTTGTATGCATAGGAGCAGAAATTTTTATGTTTCTTTCCACATATTTATTTTTCAAATTTATATCCTACCTTTCTTTTGGAACCTTAAGAAGGTCTACATAGTGCTTTCCACTTCCCGCCCCAATAATTCTGTGAAATAGGCTAGGTCAAGAAAGAGGGTCTTAAGACATCCAGCTAGCAGTGAGAATGATGCTTCTTTGTTGAAATGGAATGAGTGATTGGATGGATGAGAAAGGTGAAAACTTGAGTTTGTATTGTGTTGTGTTGCCCCTTTATAAAAGGCATATTGAATCTAGGGAGACCAAATGTACAAAAATTAGGATGAGATTACTGCTTGTTAGTTATCTATTAACTTGGTTTGACATTAAAGTTATTCAGCACGGTGTTAACAAACATAACAGGGAGTTGGAATATAGATTATTGCTTTCCTCTTTGCTGCTGTTCATAGTCCTTCAAGTACTCAAGAAAGGGGCTGCAAAAATCCAAATGACTGCTGTATAGCAAAAAAAAACTTAGTTGCTAAAAATTGACTCTGACATGATGGTACATAATCAAACAATTATCCAACAATGAAGATCTTCAAGTTTGAAAAAAACACCAAGATTTCTTTCTAGAAATAAACATATGAATATGAACAATATGAACACAAGTTTAAATGACAGATATTTGCAGCCTTTATAATAGCCATATCAGTTGCTTTGCTTGAGTTAGTGGTTACTTTGACCCCATATATGATCACATGCATTTTTTTCAAGATCACTTAGGACTTTTCAAAAGTTTAGGCTCATTCACAAAATATGTAATACTACTAATAATGCTGTTGATACTATTGACAATTACCTCTTCAGAAAAAGTTATCTTTGACACTCTAATAGTGTAATAAGTTAAAGTAATAGAGTTTAGCAAAGATTCAGAAATTCCACCGAAGAGCATATAGTTGTTCTTTTCTGGAAAAGTGAAGGGAGCAGCCGCAAAGGAAGATTCGGTGCGATTACTTGAAAAATACACAGAAACCTGAAAAAGATATTTATAGAACAAATTTTTACTTATAGAACGAAACAGGTACTCCACGGCCTCTTAATGGCGTGTTAGTCTTATTGATTTCAATGTGCTTAATTTAAAAGTGTACCTCCTTCTCTGAGAAAATGTCCGTGACTGCTCATGCATTCCTTTACCATTCCAGCTACAGGTTTCCCACAAGTGAATGAGGTGATTTTGATCGAAAAATGCAACTCCAAAAATCTAATTCCGTTTATGCAGCTACATATTTTTATAATGAACTCACAGGGACCAAAAGGATGGTTGTTTAAAAACTCCATTGCTCCTTAGAGGTAAAGGTTTCCCTTGCCCATATGTGCTAATTGTTTCCTGCCTCTAGGGGGCAGTGCTTATCTCCATTTCAAAGCTGCAAAGCTAGCGCTGTCCGAAGACCACTCCGTGGTCATATGGCTGGCATGACTAAACACCAAAGGCACACAGAACACTGTAACCTTCCCACCAAAGTGGTCCCTATTTTTCTACTTGCATTTTTACGTGTTTTTGAACTGCTAGNACATTTTCTTCCTTTCTTAAAATAAATACGTTAATTCCAAAACACAAAGGTTGCATGCGCTACTGAGAGAGAGAGAATTGGAAAATACTAACAGATTATTTCACAAACAGTAATAGTGATATCAAACAAACTTTTGAGATTTCAAAATGTGATGTTGGTTGTACCAACAAATTGTTTATTTCACAGCATTTGAAAGTTTATAGAAGGTTAATGTTTTGTTTTTGACACTTATTTCAAATGATTGTGGTCTTCTTTAAAATCATCTAGAGAAAACTGCTTGCAGAGTGTTAAGTATTCCACAGTAATTCTTCCACTTGATGAAACATCCAATTTCTTAATATTTGTAATTTAGGTCAGAGGAAATCAGTATATATCCCTGGGAAGTTAAAAACATCAACAGAAAGAAATAATTTATCATCTCCAGTTACATTTAAATAGTTTTCATGTTGGTTTCACTATGCGCTAATTGTACTCCTCATTGCTGACTGTATTTTGCAACATTTTATTATCATTGTTTTCTTGTGGATTTGTAACTCACAATTTTAACCCCTCCATTTTTCAGAGGGGACTTTAGTTATTAGGGCATCTAAAATATTGTTTAAAATGTGTAGAACTAAATTTCATATATAGTATAATGTAAGATTCTGAGACATTCTGATACAGAATGGGTTTAGGAGACAGATTAATAATTTTAAATTAAATTAATTTTAGGACACTTCATTGCTGACTTGAAGGTTGCTATTTTTCATCAAGAAAACTTTAAGCAGAAAGCCTAGCCTGAAAGAGCTAAATGAGATGTCTAACTTTGCCCTTATAGTTTAGTTTATACCTAAACTAAATTAGAGATCGTGGTTTCCTTTACAGGTGTTAAATTAACATAGCAGTTAATTTGTTTTAACACAAATACAATATTGTGTTATTGTGTTATATAATACAAGTAGTTGTATTATAACTAACTGGGAATGGTTATTGACAATCTTAAATTTATCATTTGATAATTGATAAAATGGTAATATTTATATTCAAAAGGGTTTTGCTTTAGACAGCAATCTAATCATGCTACAGGTTCCTTGCTAAAAATGCCAAATCCATTCAGACCCCTATTTCAAGGGTCTCCTAATATTGATTGAACATGTACTGAAGTCATGTCAGCTCATATTGCCTCCACAGTGACAGAGACTTATGTACAATTCAGACAATCAAATTAACATGTAGAAAATGAAGGTGCTGCAAAAATGTTATGGGATGGAGAAGCACATCAGTCTAATAAACCCTCCAGCTTATAAGTATATCAATTCTTAGCTATTAACACTCGATTTTGAGCCAATATCTGATTATTTCATTAAAAACAAAGTAGTTTGTAGTTTGTTGTTATTTGTGTTGGGGCTGAAGTTCTGAATATTCCCAAATGTATCTTCTCAATAACTTAAACTTATGAGTTTCATCAGCAAGGACACCATCACTTTACAATTAAAAATAGAGGGAAACAAAGAGGATATTCTGCAAAGAAAACTGAATTCTACCTTTTCAACTTCAGTCACAGCTTCAGAAAAAACAAGTTTGCCCATTGTGGGTAACTGTAATCCTCTCTTCAGTGCAGCTTAAGATAACAAAGAAAAAAAAGGCATTAAAAGGAAAATACACAACAAATAGGTGCAATATGATTCTTCTTAGTAACACAAGCTCTGGATAATTTGAAGTGGCATTTTGGTGGCTTTCTAGGAGCAAATAATAATGTTAATTATTATAGTGTAATTAAGACTATAACATGGAATGCCAAGCTCAAGGCAACTCTTAGTGATCAGAATCAGTCATATCCTCTCAGCCTAATGTACCGCACAGCAGGGGTGGGTTCCGGCATCTGTTACTGCTGCTTCACTCAGGGGCACGCTTGATGCCCGCTATGCATGCATGCACAGTAGTAAAAAAATTGCTTCTGCACATGTGCAAAAGCAAAAAAACAAGATGGTGGTCCCTACGCCACCGCAAATAGAACCTGTTTGGGGGGGTGGTGGCTGGGCGAGTTACTACCTACTCGGCTGAACCGGTCTGAACTGGTAGGAACCCACCTCTGCCTCACAGAGTGATTGTGGGGAAAACAAGAGGAGGAGCTATGTAATAGGATTGNATCTCACAAAAATTAGCAATAAACGTATGCCCACTTGTGAATAGGCAAATGGACTTCCTTTCTAATGAAAATAAAGCTGACTGGTTTATCAAACAGTAAAACCTTTGCTCAATATTATGCTGACAAGAATCTTTTGTTTTCAATAAAATTCTCAGGTTAATATGCATCAGCTTTATTATTATAACTTCATATTTAGTGGGAATCAATACCACAATATTATCTTCTGCTGCTCAAATAACTATAGGGCAAAGAAGTAAATATCTTTGTGCTAGAACTTCAGTTTGAAGTTTGAAACTTCTGGGCTGAGCTATGTTATCAGATCTGGGCCATGCCAACCCAGTTGACAGTTAGTTAGCAATAAGAAGATACAGAAAAGTCTAACTCACAAACCCTTTGGGTTTGCCATATGTGTAACTCCTAAACCCCTGTCTATAGATATAAGGGCTTACATCATACACCTGTGTATAATATCCCTTTAACATAGTAATAATCAATTGCCTCTTTCACTGGAAGACTATTATAAGTTCTCAAAACCTTTCCCATTAAACATGAGGCAATTCTGAACACCCATTCATTCTCAGACCATTTGCAAGAGGTTGTAATTTTTTCAAACATATAAGTAAGCTTACTTAGTAAAGTAAGCTTCTATGTCTTCTTCCTCTGTCAATTTAGGGAGTTTTATGTCTTTTATGTACTTTTATGTACCACCTCCCTTACTATATGTTCTGAAAATGCTAAAGGTGAATGTGACCCTTCCGGAAATGTATCAGCTCCCCATCCTCTTCTCTTCTTGCTTCTCTTTTACACTTTTACATTCTAGATCTAGACTCTGTCTCCTTCCAAAGTTGCTCTTTTAATTAATCAAAGCCTTTCTTGCTGTGGCTTCAACACTTTTGTAATGGTATTAGAACCTAGCCCAGTTTCTGGTTGATCTGCTTTCTTCTTTGGTTTAATTACTGGTGTAGAGTGGTTATATGTCTCTACAAAAGTAGTAATCTGTTTTAAGGCAGAATCTGTCTCTTCTGACTTTTTCCATGTCTGTTTGGAGTAGGCTCTAGTGAGATGTTTGGTTTCTGCAGCCAGGATGTTGGATATTGCTTGCAAAGCCTGAGCGTTGCAAGGCCAAACTCCCTCCCTTTTGTCACCAAGGTTCGTTCTCTTTTCATGGAGTATTTAATGAATTCCTTGAGTTTAAGCCAATTCCACTTGTGTTTGGAACCCTCTGTTGGATATCCACCACTATTACTTTCTCACAGGTTCTTTTAAGTATATCCAATTTAGTTGGGTCAAAACACCCAAGAGCCAGCATAGGTCCCTAGGCAATTATTCAAAAGCTATTACTACTCACCCCTACTCTTCACCACTCCTACTACTGTAGTACACCTTGTGAATCCTACTACTCCTAGTCCTGGTGAATACTGCTAGAGAAAACAGTATCTCTTTCAATCTGCTTTACTTCCACACATTAGCACACACCTTTTTGCTCTGTCTCTCTTCTCTCTCACAGACCTGACACCCCAGCTCTTCTCAGCTCAGCTTTTATAGCTGCCCTGCCCTCTGGGAAGAAGTCTTAAAGAAACAGGATGAATGCAGCACAGCTGCTGGCCATTTTCTGGGCAACCCACCCTCTCCTGTTTACCTTTTTCCCCCTCTCCATTACAGATAGCAACAATTGGGAAACTCTTTGTAAAGAGATACTGAAATAACCTTTTTCATATTTTAATTTTGCCTTGAATGAAAAATATTGATTTGGTCATAGTGAGTTCTATATTTCCCAAAGAAAAAAAATTATATTGTGTCAGACTTTAATTTTAAACACACTGAGAAATAGTCTGAGGCCAAATTTATGCATAAGGCTGAGACAGAAAGCCCCACTGAAATCATATTTCTGAGTTAATATGCTTACAATCATATTGTATCTGTAAGAATTTGTTGTCATATGAACACATTGCAATAGGATATTTATCTTCATGCCTTATTTATATGAATCCCAAAAAGCAATTTACAAGGGCAAGTAAATATTATTACCTAGTTAGATTTAGGGCCTGCATTTTCTGTAGAAACTCATGGTAGCTTACATATTAGACTTTTATTATAACACCATCTTGTAAATTGTGTTGGGCTGAAAATGATTGGCCCAAGCACCCACTAAGCTTTCGTGGCTGATGTGAACGTGAGTCCTCCTATTCTTAGTCCAATACAAATTTAAAAAGAATATAAAATTTAAGCATATGATGATGATTTAGTATTTATATTAGAAGCACCATTAGAATCTGGACCTCAATTAATTCAGAAANCTTGGCTATCAGAGAAGCGCCAGACGGGAAGAAGGCCAATGTCATCAACTTCGGTAGAGAGCAGGGATGATAAGGCGAGCGCCGAATTATGATCGCGCAGCACCGTCTATTTCTGCCTTCCTTCGGTGAGGGGGGGGGAGTGGTTGCGTGGAACGACGCAGGCGCCGAGAGGGGAGGGTTCAAGCCGAAGAACGGAACTACGTCATCGCAAGGTCGCCGGGGTCAAGGAGGCGGTTCCTCGGCAGCCCAAACCCACAACAAACAACGGCGGCGGCGTCTTCGCTTGCGGCCTCCTGTGCCGCCACCTTCGCGAAGGGGCCTCTGGGGCACGCGGGGCGGGGAGGAGGGGGCCAGGGAGCTTAGGCGGCACGAGCGTAGTTCGCCGCCATGAAGCTCCGCGTACGGCTGCAGAGGCAGACGGTTCCGTTGGAGTTGGCGGAGGCGGAGCCACGGCTGAGGGATCTGCGTGCGCACCTTGGCCAAACCCTCCTGCCCGCTTGGGGTTACAGGTATCGGCGAGCGGAGCTGCCTGGCAATGAGTGTGAGGGGTGGTGGTCGACGAGAGTGATGGGAAGCCGGGCTTTCCCTCTTTTAGGAAATGGAAACGGTTTCCATTTGTAGGAGAGCCCAGAGGAATAGCCCAGAGTCGGAGAAGACTCGTGGAAGACAATACATGTTTTATACTTTTATTTATTTATTTCCTCAAGCATGTATTAGATAACATAAATAAGTCTAAACGATTTAGACTAAAATCATCGTCTAAACGATGATTTGAATACATGAAATGGATACGAATAAAAGGGAACTTTAGGACAGGGACGGTAGGCTTGGAGGTCATCAAAACGCTTCAATTCGATAGTGACAGTGAATGGAACAGACGAATAAATAATTTGGGGATCCAAAGGATCTGCCTGCCTGCCTACCTGCCTATATATTTTGGCCTGGCACAAAATAGGAATGAGGGAAATATTAAGAGGAGGATTTCCCTCGTGACTAAAACTACATGTTAACTTGATATCCTAACAAGATTGGTTCCCAAGATGGATTGCTTTAAGTTAAAAACTTAACTGTGAGATTGGCAACTAACGTGGAGTTGGGGAAAGCATCTCAAGGAACGGGATGGTTTTACCCACTTTCTGTATTGCTGCCGAGAAAGTTACATGGATGTATTTAGGGAGTTAGCCAGAAGTCAGGCATGGCTTATAGGAGGCTTTATTGTTACAGTGTAGAATCAGATTTTAGGATTTTTGGCTTAATGATGGGGCTTGCAGTATTGTTGGCATTTGTAGCATTATAAATTACGTGGAATGTATGTGGAGTCAGTCCCATCCTTCACACACAATTTTTGTGCAGAGGAAAACATGACAGTTTTCTTAAAAAAAAAAAAAAAAGCTTATGCATTTCAGGCTAGAAATAGCTTGGTCAATGTTTCAATGCATTGACCAAAGCAAAACAAAAATAAATATTTACATACCAGCAATGTTCAGAATCTTGCTTTCCGAAAAAGTGGAGAACATATCACCTGAATAGTGTCTTCAGTGATTATATTTCCCAATCTTTAGTCATTTTTTTAATGTTGAAGTCTTTTGAATTTTTGGTAAAACAGTTTTGCAAGACATATTGTCTAAACAGTGTAGCAAGTTAGACTAGAACTGATTCATTTTCTTCCTCCCTCCACCTAATGCCAAGTCGTCATCTTTCAGGTTTGCCTAATTTTCAGAATTGTACATCTGTACCTAGTTTATTGAAAAAAACAAACACGTTTTTTGCAAGTATCATGGGGAATCTGCACAGGTTTTGATCTAGTTACTGAATATCTATTCCTTTCTGTAGAGCAGATTTAATTTCAAAATTTATATAGCAAACCTTTTAATTCATGTGGCTTGATGGATATTTTAGAAATGTTTTCATTGAATGATGGATTCCTGGATTCCTAACTTTTCAAATATACTAATGTGTGGAGTAATTGGAGAATTAAGTAACTGAGTCAATATACTAAGAAACACATTTTATTTTCCCAAGTAAACTGTACAGAGATGAGATTGTATTTTAGTGAACTAGTTGATCTATAATCCTGAATCCAGTCTTACTAGTCATAGGTATATTCATGAAGGTATTAAGATTATGTTGTGATAGTTAGAATCAGACCTTTTCTGTCCTGTTCATGAGAGATATA